GGCTGGGGGAGAATCTTTTCTAAACCAAAGAGCTGCATCCCATCTCTGAGCCCTCAGAGGGCCGGACGACAGTGCGCGACGCTCCCGGGCCTCGCCGCTCTCGTCCCCCTCTGTCTCTGAGGGCGCGGATGACAGTGTGTGCCGTCTCCGGACCACACCACTCTCGTCCCCCTCTGTCGCCAGACCCCTGGCAGAGCAGACCCCTGTGGAACGCTGGTCCTTCCCTGGTCTCCTCTGTCAGGACGCGGAGCGTGACCGTGCCCCCGCACCGGGCCACTATGCCACCCACGCCTGGGCCGGTCACTTCGCTTCGCTGCCCCTCCGGGGGGACGTCTGTGGTTCGGATGATTCCGCTGGTTCAGTTCTTGGGAGCTTGGTTAGAGCTTCCCAACCTGTCCCGCTGGGTCGCCCGAACTATCAGGCTCGGCTATGCGATCCAATTCGCACGGCCTCCTCCCCGCTTCAGCGGAGTCCGTTTTACTATGGTCGGTGGCAATGCCCCGATCATGAGAGCGGGGTTGCCACCCTGCTGGCGAAGGGTGCAATCGAGACTGTCCCTCCAGCCGAAATGAGGTCAGGGTTTTACAGCCCGTACTTCATTGTCCCCAAGAAGACCGGTGGGTTACGGACAATCCTGGATCTGCGCGTCTTGAGCCGCTCCCTTCACAGGCTGCCGTTCAAGATGCTCACGGCCAAACGCATTTTCGAATGCGTGCGGCCACAGGATTGGTTTGCAGTGATAGACCTGAAGGACGCCTACTTTCATGTCTCCATTTTACCTCGACACAGACCGTTTCTTCGGTTTGCTTTCGAGGGGCAGGCATACTAGTACGCGGTTCTCCCATTCGGGCTGGCTCTGTCTCCTCGCGTCTTTACGAAGGTCGTCGAGGCAGCCCTTGTTCCCCTACGCGTACACGGGGTTCGCATCCTGAATTATCTCGATGACTGGCTAATATTAGCTCACTCTCGAGATCAGGTTTGCGAACAGAGACCTTGTGCTCCGGCACCTAGCCCGTCTGGGCCTTCGGGTCAACTGGGAGAAGAGCAAACTCTGCCCCGTGCAGAGGATCTCTTTTCTCGGTATGGAGATCGACTCGGTCGCCATGTCTGCGCAGCTCACGAGCGAGTGCGCACACTCACTGCTGACTTGTCTTCGACAGTTCGAGGGCAAGAGTGCGGTCCCACTGAAATTGTTTCAGAGGCTCCTGGGGCATATGGCATCTGCAGCCGCGGCAACGCCACTCGGATTGCTTCATATGAGACCGCTTCAGCTGTGGCTTCGCGATCGAGTCCCGAGGTGGGCATGGCATCATGGCACGCTCCGAGTCCCAGTGACTCCGACCTGCCGTCAGACCTTCACCCCGTGGAGGAACCTCAGTTTTCTACTGGCCGGAGTTCCCCTAGAACGAGTTTCCAGGCATGTTGTTGTCTCCACAGATGCCTCGTCCACGGGCTGGGGCGCCATGTGCAACGGACATGCTGCCGCGGGCTCCTGGACAGGACCCCAGCGCCTTCTGCATGTCAGTTGCCTCGAGTTACTGGCAGTTCGCCTTGCCCTGCACCGTTTTCGAACGTTGCTCATGGGTCAACACGTACTAGTCTGTTCAGACAATACCGCGACAGTAGCGTACATCAACCATCAAGGTGGTCTACGCTCCCGCCGTATGTCGCAACTCGCACGCCACCTCCTCCTATGGAGTCAGAAGCACCTGAGGTCCCTTCATGCTATCTACATTCCGGGAGATCGGAACTTTGCAGCCGACGAGCTGTCACGGTTTCGGCCCATCTCCGGCGAATGGCGACTCCATCCCCAGTCGGTCCACCTGATTTGGGACCAGTTCGGGGACGCACAGGTAGACCTGTTTGCCTCCCACGACTCATCCCACTGCGCCCTGTATTACTCCCTGACCGAGGGCACGCTCGGCACAGATGCACTGGCGCACAGCTGGCCGCGGGGCCTCCGCTTATATGCGTTTCCCCCAGTGAGCCTTCTCGCACGGACCCTGTGCAAGATCAAGGAGGACGAGGAGCAGGTCATTCTGGTTGCGCCGTATTGGCCCACCCGGACCTGGTTCTCCGAACTGATACTCCTCGCGACAGCACCTCCTTGGCCAATTCCTCTGAGGAAGGACCTCCTTTCTCAGGGGCGGGGCACCCTATGGCACCCTCGTCCCGATCTTTGGAACCTCCACGTGTGGCTCCTGGACGGGACAAGGCAGGTTTGAGTACCCTGCCACCAGTGGTGGCGGCTACCATCACTTCCGCTAGAGCATCGTCCACGAGACATGTCTATGCGTTGAAGTGGAACCTCTTCGTCAACTGGTGCTCTTCTCGCCGAGAAGACCCCAGGAGATGCTCGATCAGTGTCGTGCTTTCTTTCCTGCAAGATGGGTTGGAGCGAAGGCTGTCTCCCTCCACCCTGAAGGTGTATATGTCCGCTATCGCCGCTTATCACGAAGCAGTTGAAGGTAAGTCTCTTGGAAAGCACGACCTGATCATCAGGTTCCTGAGAGGAGCGAGGAGACTGAATCCTTCTCGCCCTCCTCTCGTTCCCTCTTGGGACCTCTCAGTGGTGTTAAATGCCCTGCAGAGGGCTCCCTTTGAGCCTCTGCAATCAGCTGAGCTTAAGTTCCTGTCAATGAAGACAGCGCTCCTGATTGCACTGGCCTCCATCAAGAGGGTAGGGGACCTGCACGCATTCTCCGTTGACGAAGCGTGCCTGGAGTTCGGGCCGGGTCACTCTCACGTGATCCTGAGACCCCGGCCTGGATATGTGCCCAAGGTTCCTACCACTCCCTTCCGGGACCAGGTGGTGAACCTGCAAGCGCTGCCCCGGGAGGAGGCAGACCCAGCCTTGGCACTGCTCTGTCCAGTACGCGCTCTCCGTGCTTACGTAGACAGGACGCAGTGTTTCAGGACCTCAGACCAGCTCTTTGTCTGTTATGGTGGGAAGCTGAAGGGAAAGACTCTCTCCAAGCAAAGGTTGTCTCACTGGATAGTGGACGCCATTGCTTTGGCATACCAGCAGCAAGGTCGACCGTGCCCCCTTGGTGTGACCGCCCACTCCACCCGGAGTGTGGCGTCCTCTTGGGCTTTAGCGCATGGCGCCTTGCTAACAGACATCTGCAGAGCTGCAGGCTGGGCGACACCTAACACATTCGCCAGATTCTACAATCTGCGAGTGGAGCCAGTCTCCTCCCATGTACTGTCTTTTTCAAGCTAACATGGGAGTCGTTAGGTGTCTTCGCTTGCTCGCATTCCACTCCACGGACTGGATACGTGCGATATTTCCTCAGGTGAGCCTTCCTCTCTGAAGCCCTGAGTTCCTCCAGCACTGTTGACGCTGGCGCCAGTGTTTATTGCCTGTGCGTCGGCTAGGTGCCTCCGTGTGCATGGTTCCTCCCCTGAGTAACCCCCACATGTGTATTTCCACTGTAAGCCTCTTTGTCTTTCCCTCGGCAAGCCACCTTGCCACTCCTGGAGTTGAAAGTTGCCACCCCACGGGCTGGTCACTCCAGTGTTCCTCCATATGAAGCCCCCCTCGGGCCATATGTGTATTCTTAAGTCCTCCCTACGGGTAGGCATGCTGCGGCATATCTCCCCTGAGATATGCTTCCCAGTGTACCTTGGTATTCCTGTGTTAAGTAGGACTCCTTCATCCGTGCCTATATCACGACAGGGAGGTCAGACTTCGCAGGGCACTGGAAGACAGCTGTGAAGGTGGCGTGATTACACGGGGACCCCCATTCTCCGTCATCCGACGTAACTCGGAGTGACTACGAAAGGGAACGTTACGTCTCCTTGCCACTTCCGCTGTACCGCTGGGTAGACGCCTGAGTTCAGTCTCGGCTCCTCAGCGAAGACATGATCTGCTGTTGCAGGTGTCTCTCCTTAAATACCCACGCGGTGGGGCGGAGATACATTATGCAAATTCCGCAGACCCATGGCATTTCATTGCCATAGGCTCGTTTTTTAATACTCGAAGATGATAGGCTTTCTGGCGAAACCACTATTCTCCGTCATCCGACGTAACGTCTCCGTTCCCTACTCAGGGAACGAGGGTTACATCCGTAACCGAGACGTTTTTGTTACTGTACCTTTAAGACTTTTATATGCAAATTAACTCACTATAATAACTTTGCAATTGTTTTAGACAGAAATAGTCATTTTTTACAGTGTAGTCTTTGATCAAAGTATAACCTTCTCTACAACTGAATTGACTTTTCTTGTTTGCTGATGTAATGAAAGCCATGTGGGCGGGGCCAATAATAGTAGCCAATAATATCAATGTTAGTTTATCGCTATTCAATCAAATCCTGATGGATAAAATGAAGTCCTGCCCTACAGTATTTTCCATTATTTATTCTGTTTGAAAATACTTGCGTTATATAGTGCTAAAGTCAAATGTGTTGCGTTTCGTAATTTGATTATAGTGTTGTCTTTACGAAGTCTATTACAGTTTGTGATTCTGTTTTTCCTTTCACATCACTTCCTTCTCATTCAAAGTTTCTCTCTTCTTTGACTCACCAGATTACTGCTTTTGTTAATTCATTAAATCTAGATTTTCATCTTTCCGTAGTGGCTTCAAAAATATACATATCGATAAACTTGCATTGTATATCAAAAAATGTAGAAGATTACTATTCCAGCCTTAATATCTTTAATAACAAATATTTTACTTGTCTATCTGCAGGGCTGCACATGCCATGCAGAATATATGTATATATCTTGGCCACAAAATAAGAATTTGTTTCCACAAACTAAGTATTCGTTCTATCGCTTTAGAAGATCATGGCCACGATTTACTAATTTGTCCACTCGTTTTAGTTAAATAATAGCCACGAATTAAAGAATTCGTTCCCTCGTTTTAGTAAATCGTGGCCACGTTGAACTAATTCATTCCCTCGTTTTGATTGAACTAAATCAAGGGAATTTATAACAACATGGCCACGATTTACTTAAAACGACATACATTTTTTTCCACCGCATGTTATGTGCAGGCTCCGTATCTATCTCTACCCACTGCATTTCTAATATCCCTCTCTGCCACTCTTGTTCCATGTCTGTCTTCCTCTCTGCATATTTCTACTGGCTGCTTCTGTGTGTCTCCACCCCTTCTGGCTCCCTCTGCTGTCTTGGTTGTGTACCAGCAGCCTCCAGAAGACAAAAGCTGGGTGTATTCTCCTCTGCACTTCAGCACAGGGTCAAAGACCCTTCCAGAGGACGAAGAGGAGAGTGAAACAGTAAGTGCGCGCCGTGTCGTGGTCGACCTGGGTTTGTAATTCTTGATGTTGACAGTTGACGATTATTCCTCGCACATTCTTTAATAAGCCACAGTATTCAAACGCTATTAATGTGTCCCAACAGTAATCAGACCTCAGGAGAGAGGAGCAGCTCCGAGGTTTGGACTCCTCAGACTCATCACGTCCCGAAGCTCTACTGGTCGGATGCTACTGTTGGAATTTCCGCAACTCAAGCTTCATTTGCATCGTTCTATCACCCACTTCACAAACAACACCAAGCGAGTAGCAATACCAATGTCCAGACGTATTTATGGGGAAAAATTTATATATTTGTTTAATTATTTTGTTTTGTTGAAATGTTTTGGTTTTTCGTTCATTGTCCAATTTGCATACTGTGAACGTGTTCTCCAATTTGAGCTCTGGGATGCAAGACTCCTAAGAGTAGGCTGTATGCTATTTTTGAAATGATTTATTTTAATTTTTTATTCTTTTTGGGCTGTAGGCTATGTGACCTTAATTTAAAAAAGAAAGACATTTTTTATAGTTATGTATGCTACTCTGGTTGTTAATGCACGTTGGTTATCAGTAGCTTTGTTCCTTAACCGTTTGAAAAAATGCAAATTCATTTGTTTTATTTCTAATTAATCTGCATTCTTGCAAATGATCCCAAATGATAGTTCATATTGTGTTCCATTTCTGTTGCAGTCCTTTAATACTAATTTTAATTTTTTAATTTCTGGATATCCCCTCCCCCGTCATCGGGGCCATTAAGATTGTGGACCAAATTATTGTGTGGGAGGCCAAATATGTAAAACAAATTGTTACCATATCACAATCATTTCACTATCAGAAATATTTCAGTTAAAAAGTTTTAAATTGTAAATCCATATGTATAGAATTTGTGTGTGTGCCTATGCATTGAGCGTGTTTGTGGTTTTGAGTAAGCGAGTGTATCATTTTTCACAATGGAAGTGTGTGACACTGATTCTTATGATGTGGCCAGTTGCTATTGCAGTTGTATCTAAAATAAAAGGACTACTGCAGCAATATTTGTAAAGTGTAGCACACACAAATTTTGGTTGCCTTGATTTTTTTTGCCAACCTCAATTCTATTGTAGTTATAAAATATTCACTGATTCAGTCTTTTTTTCTGTCTTAGAGAATTTGTAAATAGATCTTTAAATACATATAAAATATATTTTAAATGTTATTTGAACTTTTATTTTGTATTTTATTTTGCAAAAGATGTCCAAGCCTAGGTCCACACAAAACCCACCCATTCTTCCAGTGTTGAGGACATGCGCCATTTCTTGTGTTAAGTCTAAGCTTTCTTTGTATCATATGTATAAACTTTACAGTTCAGATTGTAAAGTCTATACGTTCTCAGACATACAACTGTATCAATCGCTTACTCTTCCAACAGTTGAGCTGTGTTTGTGTGGTCAAAAAGCTGTGTGCCCCCCCTCAATATCAAGAGCATGACAAAACATGAGTCTACTTACATCGATGTACAGCATAGACATTTATCCTACAAAAAAAAAAAAAAAAACCACAACCAATGGACCCATGTGTGTACATTTGTTAAAACCCTTAAAATAAATACAACTCTTGATTCACAGGTTTCTTGTTGATTTTTATATTTTAGTCAGTCGTTTCTTATACCATTCAGAATTTCCCAAGTATTATAAAAACGGTCTGTAATGTGGAAAAGGGCTTAGCGCCACATCAGGTTCTAAACCGATATAAAAAGGTTTTTAAAAAAGCAGCAAACTTTAAAATGAATACTGCACATGTATTAGGAAAAAAATTACACTTTTAAACATTTTTCCATTCATTTTTAAACACTTTCAATAAAACCATCTGCCAAATGCATAAATGCAAGTATCATCAGAGCAAGGTAGCCAGGTTTGTGCAGGCGCACCAGATTTGCAGAGATAATGACTAAAAAGGACCACACATCACTGTGTAAGTTCTCAATGTTGAGATTTATTAGCAAACCTTTAACAAAGGCAATTTCTTGGAAAGCATCACAATAAAAAGTGGGGAGAAAAAAAAACCATTTGGTCTCTAAAAGTCATAAGCAAAACTAAAAGTGTACCATTCGGCACAAATACAAATATGTAACTTGACAAATCAATTGGAAAGCATAGTGAGTTGGGTGGAGGGAATCATATGCAGAAGGCAAAAGACGACAATTATGCATTTCTGTCAATCCTGACATCAATCTCTCGTCCATTGAGCCGGTAGCCGTTCATGGTACGACAGGCTCGCTCGGCAGTATCCGGACTATCAAACCGCACCACACCACAGCCCTTGGATTTGCCATTCTCCATCTTTATGTCCGCATACTGCACCATGCCTGGTAGAAAAACGCACATCATAATGATTAGTTAAATGAGAAACGTCAATGCAGAAAATGGATGGGTTTGCTATAGATGGAAAAAAAGTCTCACCACATGAATTGAAAGTGTCCTTCAACATCTTCCAGGTGAAGTCAAAGGGCAGCTGTAAAAATAGACATTAACATTACAAATGGAGGAAAAGATGTATATATATGAATATGACATTTGAAAGAATGTTCTTAATCTTTAATCAAATTATAACTCTACAACTGAAACAACTTTTCTTGTCTGCTGATATAACAAAAGCCGTGTGGGCAGGAACAAATGATATAATTTTAACTTGCCAATCAAATCCTAATGTATAAACAAACATCGGAATAACAGTTTGTGATCATACATGCTTTCCTGCATTTCTTTATTATTATTATCTTTAAAAAAAAAGTAAGATAAAACGCTTACATTTCTGACAAAAATCTGGCAGCCCTTCCTGGCATTGGCTCCGCCAACCCCTGGACCTCCTTGTCCAGACCCACTGAAAGGAGTGCCGAAGTTGCCGCGGTCCATATCAGCAGGTCTATCAAACTGACCACCAACGCCACCAGAGCCCATACGATCCATGCTGGTACCCATGCGGTCAAGACCTGAGGAGGGGAAGCGGTCCATGCCACCGGAGCCCATGCGGTCGAAGTTTGTACCCATTCGGTCGAGGCCTGTGTTCATCCTGTCCATACCCATAGGAGAGGCAAAGTCCATTCCGCCACTCATACGATCCATGCTGGACGGGCCCAAGCGGTCGAACCCTGCAGGGCCCATGCGGTCCACAGTGGAGCTCATGCGGTCGATGCCTGATCCCAGCCGATCCATACTGGGCCCTAGCCGGTCGAGCCCTGAACCCATTCTGTCAAAGCCAGTTCCTAACCGGTCCAGATCAGACATGCGGTCCATGCGATCCATTCCCATTCGGTCTAGTCCTCCCATGCGGTCCATGCCACCACCAAGCCGGTCCATGCCAGAATTCATGCGATCCATTCCCATGGTGTTTCCTGGCAATCAATCAAAAAGCAAAATTTTATATAAAAACTTTTAAATAAAATTATAATTTAATAAATGTAAAAGAGGAAAGATTAAACATCACTAACCCATTCCTCGGTCAAAAGAGTCTCCGAAGTTGCTACGGGACATTCCCATGTCATTACGACCACCAAATTCTCTATCAAAGCCACCGCCAATTCCACGATCCATATCTGCAATAATAAAAAAAGGTTTCAAACTTAAAACTGAAGAGCAAACCAGATTTAAAAAAACAACTGTAAATGCATTTACCATTCATTCTTCCCATTCCAGAGGGTCCAAAACGATCCATGTTGTTCATACCACCTCCAAAATTATCCATCCCTGAAATATCATAAAATGATAATTACATACTATATACTTTTCATATACATGTAATTTTTATACTACAAACTACGCAAAATTTTTTTTTAGCGATTTAGTACATAAAATAAGCAGCAACTTAAAATTCTTGAAGATAAAATAAAAACACTGAAGTTAAAACTCTTCTGCTCAGGAGTTACTGCAGCTAGTATGTAATGCAGTTTGGATATCACTAGGGATGTCAATTTTCACAAATTCCCATGATCGATCGTCATTTAAATTAACGATCAATTAATCGATTAATCATTAGCCTTAATACTGCAATATGCGTCTGCTGCAGCAGTGCATATTGCCAACAGCATGACAGCGTCTGCAAATGCTGCTCAAACCGCTATGTTCCTCACCAAATTAATGAGAATGGTTTTAATCTAAATAAAGGGCTAGTAGGATTGTAAAATGTTTCGATGTGATTGATAATTAAATTAAATATTTAATAATCAAATATAACGACTAATACAACGTGTCACCAACGCCGCCTCAGATGCGCTTGTCAGAATGTGTGACTTGTGGACGCGTGCTCTTCCTGGAACAACGCACTTAAAACGGCAACTAAACCCAATGAATTCACACCGATTTAATACAATAGTGTTCTCATGTTATGTAATATGACAGTCCCAAATTAATCCTCGTTATTAGTCGTGCATTCTGCTTGAGCGGCGCGCGCTGAATGAATAACCGTTGAGCACTTTGCTAGCACGTTATTTAACACAAAGAAACGCATCCTATGAGATTAATCAGATATCTACAAAATAAACATAATATTACAAATTATATTTGCACAAAATGACGTGAATGCACAAGTGAACTTGAACTAAGTTACGTGCCATTCAGAATGACTCATGTTGTGGACGCGCTCTTCCTGGAACAACACGACACGGCAACTAAACCCAAATAATTCACAATGTTTTATTACAATATTGTTCTCTTTATAATGTTATATAATATGACAGCCCCAATAGTCGTTATTAGTCGTGCATTGCCATTTGAGCTGCGCGCGCTAAAGATCACGCTGCGTCAATTCTTAACCAAATGCATCCAACATGAGATAAATCAGATAGATAGGCGCACACAAAATAAACTATTACAACTTACATTTGCACAAAACAAAAGGCAGCGAATGCACACGCAAACTTATAGTCATGATGAAGGTGTAAAATAGTCCCAAACATAACTCCGGCGCGCTCGCTTACATGTTTCGCGGTTGAGCAGCACGCACGCGCATGAACCTGCTTAATCGATGATCGATAAGGTTTATCGATTAAACGTGTTATCGACAATTAATTGATCGTCGATTAATCGTTGACATCCCTAGATATCACCCATTCTAACAGACTGACCGCCATTTGAACTATAGCATGCAAATCATAACCCTGCAGGTTCCTTCAAGATCTAAAAAAAAAAAAAAAAAGAAGTCCAAAACAGGCACAAAAAAAAAAAAAAAGGCTGATGAGATGTCCTGAAAAACACATACCTCCCACTCTACCCATGCCACCAAAGCCCATTCCATCCATTCCTATAAAGAAAATTCATTCATGGAGAGGGGTGGGGAATGATGGTCAGTGTACATGCACAAACAATCCAAAAGGTTCAACAGGCGACATGCTATTACCTCCTGGTCCCATGTTGCCCATTCCACCCCGGTTGAGCTGGGTGGCATCGATGGGTTGACCGCCGGGTCCCAGACCAAGACCGATACCGCTAAGACCACCTGCACGAGATTGTGAGAATTGGTTTAGGGGGAAAAAACTAGCCAATTGCAAGATGACGGTTCACATGGCAAACGTGAATATCAAGTCAACACTTACGAGGGAGTGCTGGAGGACGATCTGGGGGTGCAAAATCACCTTTGGGAAGGGACTTCTCATCCTGAAAAAACAATGACCGATGTGAAGAGGCAGATTTTAATGAGCTTACAATCATATTGCCAATGTATCGCTAAACCTACATGATTACTTACCAGTTTGACATGCATGACCCTGTTGAAGAGGAGCTGTCCGTTGAACATGGCTAACATCAATTAAGGAAAACTTTTAAGCATTGCACATTTTATATTTGCACATTAAATAACCTTATTCCAACCAATTCCACATATCAAAAGCTATTGTAAAGGATACAGACTGCTTGAACGGCCTCAATGGGCATCTCAAACGTGACCGTTCCCATGCCTCTGCTTTTCCCATCCTTATCCTCCAGGATATCAGCACGCACAACCACTCCAGCCATTCCGAACACCTCTTTGAGCTTCTTCCAGCCAACCTTGTAGTCCAGCTGTGCAGACAGATACCATATGAACAGTCAGGGTTCACGTTTTAAAACTCAACGTTTGGTTACAGAGTTAATTCAAACTCTTAAACTCTTACATTGGCCACAAAAATGGTGCTTCCGATTTTTCCAGACTGAAGTCCATGGATGATCTCATTGGGAATGTTGGGGTTGTTCATGAGACTGGGAGGGATGTTGACCAGTGGAGGAGCGCCGGGCCCTGGGCCCATCCCCATGCCTCCACCCATTCCGCCTCCCATGCCTCCACCCATGCCTCCTCCCATGCCTCCACCCATGCCTGGTGGTCCGCCGCCGCCGCCACCACCACCTCCCCCGTGAGCCCGATTAGCTTCACGCTGGGCAATCACTCCATCTGGATCCTGGGAGAGCAATACAGGGGGGTTGATTATAATTGGGCTGAACAATAGACAAAAATAATGCACAGAGAAATTGAATGTCACCAAAAGACTGGAAACAGATCATTTTAGCTCAGGGCTCCAGACTAACTTTTCCACTGGTTGCACTGGTGCTACCAACTTTCTCAGTTGGTCGCACCAGCATATGATTTGGTCGCACCTTTTTTTTTTTTTTGCTACATGCCATGGGATTAATCAATGCATGCTGAGCTGATGAATAGTGGTTTTAATGGGCCAAGGTTAGCAAAGGCTTTCTGGGTTGCAGCATAAATACCTGTAATATATTATATAAAAACACATGTAATATATGGTAATTATCATTGCCAAATTTCAGGATTTTCATGTATTTTGGACAGTAATTTTAATCTGTAATTTTAAGCATTTTACATTTGAATTATACAATCTATTTATTTACATTTGAATTATATTATATCTATCTATCTATCTATTATAATCTTTGTGTCTATTATCATCTTTCTATCTTTTAAAAATCATTAAACATTCAAATATATGCATTACATTTTAAAATATTAAATACGCTGATACAGATTTTCGTTATCAAAGTTTATAGTTGTAACAAAAATCTGAAATCTCACACCTTACCTTCTGCATTTTATAATCACTTCCTTTTCCTCTGTGGAGCGATTACTCTCATCTAACCGCTGAAAAGACGTAGGAAGGGGCTCGGTGTTTAGTGAGACCTTTTCATTTTTATATGCCTTAATTCCTAATTGGCGCGTTTCACCATCAGTGTGCAATGCACGTGACGTGTACGTTCGTCAATAAATAAACTGCACGTGTCTTGCGGAAGAACACTGTAGCCGGAGCTCCTTCTCTCCGTTAATGTCTATGGCGAGTCACGCAGGCACTGGGCAACTCCGCAGCCGAGACGACCCCGGGATAAAATAGTCAGAATATAAACACTTATTATAGGCGTACCGTAGTGATTCAGGATAAGTCAAAAAGACGGTTTTGAAAATGTATTCATGATGTAGGCTACTCGTTCATTTTGAACATATTGTTACGGACTGCAGCAGCTGATACAACGGCGTTCTGTTGCGCGAACGTCCACTCGCACAAATGCGACCAATTTTAACTCGCACATTCTCAAAAAACGGTCGCATATGCGACCAATTTGGTCGCAGTCTGGAACCCTGTAGCTATATTCACCTAGTTTTTTTTCATCTACAAGATGCACTCACCTCCTTGACCTTAAGAGGACGGCCATTCATGACATGTTTGTTGACTTTTTCTACAGCCTTTTTCATGAGTTCTTCAGTTCTGAACTCAACCACACTTTGAGAGAATAAAATAAATTGTTAGCAAGAGAAGTGCAGAACAGACAAATACGAGAAATGATCGATGGGCTGAATGATACTTACGCACAACCCTTTGTTCAGTCAGCACACCAGCCAGGATCAACGAACAAATAAAACGTGAATGAGAGAGACAATTAGAAAAAAAGCCACAGGACATCATTGACAACTGACTCAGGAAACCTTTAAAAAAATACTTCAGGCACACTAAATTGATACAAAAATATATATATATATTGTCATATAATACTTCTCTGTGGTGTTCACTTACTGCAAAACAGTTACATTTAGTGCATAATTACATCCAAACTCAAAATGGCTGACAAGATTAATTGACCAGAATACACAACCGGCCTTCAGTTCCAATTACGCATTCAAGCTCCATTTCTGTTGTTATCCCACTAGAATCGCTCAACAAATCATTGACGCCAGGTTATCCTTGTTTAGTTACTGAACACCACCTTAAGTCCAAAATGAGACTCGCAGTGCAATAAAGCTACCTCTTAAATCAAACAAAAACCAGAATTACTATATAACTGGTTCCACTCAGAACCGCAGTCGGCGTCCATTTTTGTTCGAATGCCACCCAAGACAACACATTTTGAACTCTCAACCCAGTCCTGAACATCCCACATTAAAATCTAAGAGTACATATAAGAACTCAAGCGGACAAAGGGAGGTTCGTCTCTTGCACTTACCCTTGATTTGCCTTCTCCGTCCATTAAGTGTTCCACGTACGTTACCTCACCCACTACAAATCAGATTCCAGACGACACACACCAAGGGGAGAGAAGCCGAGAGAACAATTGGGGTTTAGAGCAGACACAAACGGGGGGACGGTGAGAGTGAGCTCGGCCTGCGAGTCCAGAGCCTCCTCCCCCAGCACCTCAGCAGCACAAATTCTGGTACAGGTCTACAAGAAGCAAGCTGTAAAAGGTTAAGGAAAACTTCTTAAGCTGTCCTTGCTGGGATCCTCATTCAACATCCAAGACTGACCAAAAGGATTTTACCTCCCGAGCCATCGAAAATTGGATGGATTGCCAACTAAGGCCTTTGTTGGACGTCAATGAAAACGTCTGTTAAGGTTAACACGTCTTCGGCTACCTCCAAAACATTCAACACACCTAAACCGTGTCGATAAGGCAAAAAAAAAAGTAGCTAAATAAAAATAGCTAAACCTAGATTATAAAATAAATGTTTAGAAATTACAGAAACCTCATCCACCTGGAACCAACTTGGCTTCCCAACTAAACAATTGGCATTGAGACTCTTGAATTTAATCGATTAGCCAAACCAGCTCCAACAAGTCCCGTTGGATGAACACTCAAGAATAGGATTAGATGCTGACTTTGCATCCGATGAGACTGCAAACCAAAACAAGGTCTAGTCTGTTTGTCAAAAACTACATCGAACCACCTGGCATTTCTCCAGCAAGAACGTCTGTCCATAAGATAAAACAAGGACCAGCTTAAGAAGCTGCTTTACTCTGTAGACCTGTACCCCCAGAAATCAATCACACATCCATTTTTTTATGGGCACAATAATGAAGATCTGCTGCAACAACATTCACTCTGGCAAACCTAAAAAAGAAAATGCAATTTAATTCTACAAGCAACAATTTCCACATGAAATTCCCCATGCGTAAGATTCATTAGGCATGGAGGGGGTACTACACATGGATTGGGAAAAATGTGACCACTCATGGGTTGTTCTGAAATACTATCCAACAGGTTAGGGTGAAATCTACACACTTTCTCCAAAGCCAAAGAGACCGATTGATGGCATCAGATTCGTATGAATGGATTAAACTCTGTTCTAAATGTATGTGCAGTTCGCACAAGTTTAAAGTGCCATCAAGCCACATTAGGAATCTTGAATAATTTAACTTTTCCACAACAGCCTTTTTCCCACAAGACACTTTTCGAACAGCCTTTTTTTCCAAGACCACTTCCCCATGATGGGATGTTTATCCTCTGACCTAAAGCAACTGTGTAGTTGGCCACCTTCAAAACCCCCAAAACTAAAAAAAGGTCCTAACCTAACCTGGGATATACAACCAAGCAGCACAAAACCTTACCTTTTTCCTTCATGAGATCTTTCAGCGTTTGCCATTTAACATCATAGGGAATGTTGCTGACAAACACACGGTATCTCTTGTTGGGGTTTCCGTAAGGTTCAAATCGTCCCCCGCCACCACGCTTTTGGGGCCTCTCCTTTCTCGACTCATGGTTGGACTTGCCGTTCACTGAATTTCTGTATGGAAAAGAAAACGTGCAAAATCAACAAACTCAGGAGACAAAACTATATTTTGTGTGAGCAGTTGTGTTTCTTTATTCATTGTACGGAGTTTAAATTGTTCCACCCTTAAGTTTAAAGACTCAATTTGACACGTTTTCTGTGTTATAGAAATAAAATGTATTAAAATAAGGTCTAACAGGGTTTAACATAGTGTCATTTTGAACCATCACTCTAACTAGTTTGAGATCAAATGTTTTTGTAGTTTCCGAAATTATACTTGCCATTAATCGAAGAATAATGTTTGTTTTATCTTTTGTCTAACAATAACCTGACAACAGGGCTGAGATTGCAGTTATAGAGATAAATATTACATTTTAGTTATCAAATTTATCATAAATTTTTAATATATTAAATATTTTTAAGTGAAGGGTTTCTTAGATGATAATGCGTATAAAAAAATCAATTCATTAATATCTAACGAGGGCCACAAACTGAACAGACATGCAACTAACTTAGGCCAAGCAGCAAACAAAGGACACTCGTCTTGTGCTTGTTACCGATCAAAAAAGTGTTTCATATGTCGTCTATATGCTTCATTTCGTGTATAAAACACATTTCATGCATGATGTTTCCTTAGCTTGTTTCCTGCCGTTGTGAATCCAACGACTCTTTGTTTCAGCAGGATATATGAGCCAACCAAACGATTTTGTCCTTAAGCAAAAAACCATGATATTTTACTGCAGCTTAACTATTACGATTATTATCATTAAAAATGCACGCGGCATCTAATACTATTTTAAACATATAAGAAGCTAAACGTGTAGAAAAAACAAGCAGTTGTCGCGTTACCCTTGGCCTGGTTTCTCTGGCGAAGCCTCAGTCGACATTTTGCCTTCAGATGTTTGCCGTTTTCCTCCTCTTCCAGATTAAGCTGCTCTAAACCACGCAGACTAGGTCTAGATAAAGATAAACACGAGTTTAAAGTTGTAAAAACAATGCTCAGACGTGTTGCTGTCTCGGCGAGGTGATGTTTCTCCACTACTGGAAATAATATTCAGCCGCTGCTTGCGTCCTTCGTCTGGTGAAATGGCGGCGACGCAAAGGGAGCGAGGCTGATATTGGAGGCGAAGAAAGGCATGATGGGAAACAATGTGTGACGCGCGTTCTCGTTTGAAACTCCCAGGAAAGCGTCAAAGCGGCCCGTAATTAGGTGTTGTTATAACTATTATTTTATGACATTAAATGTAGTTCACCCAAAAATCACCCGTATGAATTTCTTTCTTCTGCTGAACACAAAAGAAGATATTTTGAACAGAACGGTTGATGGAACAGTCAACCCCATTGACTTCCATAGTATTTTTTTTTTCCATACTATGGAAGTCAATGGGGAACATCAACTGTTACCAACATTCTTCAAAATACCTTCTTTTGTGTTCAACAGAATAAAGAAACTCTTTATACAGGTTTGGTACAAGAGCCATTCTACCGAAAGGGTGACATTTCTGTCCTCAGGACATTAAATGTATAAAATTGCATGAAATTTAACTCTAAAAGACATTTTATTATTAAGCAAAATGTCCTGCACATTAAGCTAACTACAAATTTAAAATGTATAATTAAAAACATTAATAAAAACTACATGGAACACAAAAAAATAGCATTTTCTGCATGTCCCCACTCTTTATCTCTAAAATTTACCATGAAATATGATGATTAAAATCCTTCAGAAATCTTAATTTGTTTGCATTGTTGTGTGACTTTATATCCAATCTATGCTTTAAAATGTTTTTTTTTTCATGAGAAAAAAATATTTTATCTAATATTTTAGATAAAATACAATTTTTAGTCCTGTCCCCGGGTTTTCACTCAGTCCTGTTATCCTAACACATCCCCCCCTCTGAAAAATTTGGAATATTCCACAAGACACATTTTCAACAGGAAGTTGGATCATCTGGATCTTCTGAAGGCAATGGGAAGACCATAAGTAAGTCCTCTCATTTTAATTTCTGTATATTTGATGAAATTGTAACTATGACTGAGAAGGTAAATCTCAACATACTGTCCTGTTACCTAAATTATTTCTTAGATTTTATTTGTTTATTTTAAAAATATGAACTTTTGGTAAGTCACTAGAAATTGCTCAGTGTCCTCATGCTGTTAGCATGTATGCTATGTGACCATATGGCATGTATTTGATAACTTTTTGCTTAAAAACTCAATCCTGTTACTTTCAGTCCTGTTGCTTATATGAATAAATAACAGGAGTGAGTTAAAGTAACAGGAGTGAGTAGAGTCCTCTGTTTTGTTGATTTAATACTGTAAATATTAGTTTATATAATACTATTCACCTGAATTATGAGTTTTAAGGTTGCAATTACTTATATTATAGACATTAGCATTAGTTTTATAATGTGAACACCATACTTCCAGGAAGCCAGTCCACCACGAGGTAACTTAAACGTTGTGTCTTTGTCTTTCTTATATTTTGTAGAAAATGGAGAAAACCCATACTATGCAGGTGCCAGAAACACACACCTATGGCAAATTGCAATGGAAGGAGCGAAACCGCAACCCTCTCTTTTCCCCCTTTTTTGTCTTAACTTCCCTCTTTCTCCCTCCATCTCTCTTCTTCTCTCTCTCCTTCTTTCTCTTTCCACCTCCTTCTCTGTGAAGTACTTCTAGCACATAGTACATCACTTCAACACAGAAATCTTATGCACACACAGTCATGTAGACTCTCTCCAATACACACACATATGGACGCTCATTCCTGTTACCAAGTGTTCATTCCTGTTACAATGTGTTCATTCCTGTTACTATTTTTTTTTCTTTTTTCTAAAAAAATAAAGTTAAACCAGTGTTTTTATCAGTTTTGTTTGGTCCATCATTTATACAATAGTTTAATAAATTAAATTATTAAAACAATTGTAAACTTGAGGGTTCGGTCTTCTTTAAAATGAAAAAAATGGCTTTGTGTTTTTTATTAAAATACACCTTGCCTTAATAAATAGTGATTTTTTTCCACAAATATCAATTATTTAAACATATAACCAACAATTTCTTTAAAATAAACACTTTCTTGTGGGCAAAACAAAGGAATTAATTGACATGCTTTTAAACATGCTTTTTAAATGGCACATGAGTTTCGGTAACAGGACTGAGAAAATGTGTCCATCTTCTGCTTAAACCTTGTAAAAAAAAAAAAAAAAAAAGTTGGCTGAGATTGACCAATACACATTTTGAATAGTTAAATATGTGTAGTATTAGATTCAGTGTTGAAAAAAGATAAAAAATCAAGTTTAATTTGGAGAGTTACAACAAGCAAATGTCACCCATTCGGTGGAATGGCTCACAACTTGAGGGTGAGTAAATTATGACAGAATTGTCATTTTTGGGTTTACTATCCCAGTAACACGACTTTACAATAAGGTTCATTAGTTAACTACCTTAGTTAACATGAACTAAGAATGAATAATACTTCTACAGCATTTATTAATCTTAGTTAATATTAATTTCAACATTTACTAATTATTAAAATCAGAGGTTGTATTTGTTAACATTAGTTAATGCACTGTGAACTAACATGAACAAACAATGAACAACTGTATTTTTATTAACTAACATAAACAAATATGAATAAATATTGCAACAAATGTATTGCTCATTGTTAGTTCATGTTAGCTAATACATAATGAACCTTATTGTAAAGTGTTCCCACTATCCCTTTGTGGCTTTTTACATTTGTGTATCATCAAAGACAACTGTTTGTGAAAAGTTAAAATATGTGAGAAGAAATCAAGGTAAATATCATATATTGTTTGTCACTTCAATTCAAGCTGTTATTTTGTCAAATTATGTGCGTGTGGAAAATATTTATTTGTATTTAGTATACACATAATGCGAATTATGCAAGTAGTAGCCCATCTGTTAGCATGAGATTGTCATGTTTTTTCCCCCCCATAAATGTTTGAAATGTCATTTCCATCACAGAATGCTATTAAACAATAGATGTTGTGAAAATGACACTTTGGTGGGAAATTTCTTGACTATCACAGGTACACTTTTGAACTGTTGCAACTCAACAGAATACAATGTATTATCAAAATAAATGGGTTGTTTAAAGTATGAAATTGTACTACCATTTAGCAATCTCTAGAAAGAACAACCGCACAGTTATCAGATCCAGAGCATCATTTTTAATTTGCTTTGCACACTTTTCTTGGCTGATTTAAAGCACCAACATATTTTGGTGAGGACATTACAGACATGTTTCTCTTAACCACTGCACAACATAAACATTGTAGTTTGCAAAAGTTCAGAGTGATAAAAATCCTGTGTTCCATGAACAAATGAAAACAAAACGGAAGCAAATATGATACAGTATGAATACATTAAAACACACACTGGCAAAATTAGAGAGATTTCAACTGAATCAACAAACTATGTGAACATGTTTACAATTAAGTTCAGATCCGATTGGTAAATGTCTCCTTTTTAAAACAGCAACAAAAGCTAAAAACCCCCTCAGAAATTTACAACAGAAACCGCATTTCCATTATAAATTAGTGAAAGTGCCATTGGATTTAAATAAGAAAGCATGCATTGGAGGAACAGATAAGTTTGGTTTTATTAACATCATTTGAGCTGCTGAACTGTTCTTGCAGGGTTGCATTTTGTGACCAGCTCATTGGCATCCACTGCAAGTTAATAAAAAATAAAAATAACATTATGAGTTCAACATTGTCCCTCTCCTCCTAAAGTCCTTCATATGCAACAACATCTACATCTATGTTTATACCATACATGTATTGTTAAGGTTATAGGTAAGAATTGCATTGTAATATTTTTGAAATTGCACTCTTGATGTATTAGCCTACATTGCAAAATAACCAGGGTATGGCCCAAAAAGTGAGGAAAGCAGGTTTCCACCTGTGGAACATCGCACAACAATGAGACGGCATTCCTCAAGTTAGCAGTAAGCTGGTAAAGTTGCCTGTCGTTGGTGATCCAAGACCACTAGTTAAACCTCTGTGGTTTGAGATAATGGTTCAAATCAACACAAAAGAGCAACTTCCTTCTGAAATCACTGAACAATGGGAAAGAGGACAATGATAAAGATGTATTATTTCTAAAACCCTTTAAAAATACCAGAATTATCAACAAATAATGCCATCATATTTTGTGTATCTATTGCACAACTTTTTTCCCTTACAAAAAATCCATTTAGAGAGGAACACGGTTTTACATTAAAGTTTTTGTTCCTCTGGTGACATCTCTCCCATTCTCCAAAGCAAAATGAGCTCACGGGAGACGGGGGGATGGATGCATTTGAGGGGAAAACATTTGGATGTTTGAATTTCCAACTACAGAAGCACCTTTTGGTTTCAAACTCACTTGTTTTCGGCACTGAACTTTGTCAGCACCGCTCCGCCGCGTGAACTACAAGCGTCTAACCGCAGGCCGATCAGCTGCGTTTCTTTAAAAAAAAAAGTGGTCAGCAAATAATACAGACATTCATGGGCCTGTCTGCTCCACACACACACACACACACACACAGAACCCTGAACCTACAGCACACAACACTTCTTAATAACAGAGACATCAGTTTATCTACACATTTACAATTGAGACGCATCCGAATTTACAGTAAAATAATTCATGGACCTACATATCTTAGGTAGCTCATTTTATTAGCCTTAAAGGAACAGTTCAACACTGTCATTATTTACTCACCCCTCATGACGTTACAGTCTTTTTTATGTGAAACCCACAGATGTTTTTTCCAGAACGGTTAAAAAAAAAGTGGTCCATACAACTTGTGCACTATATTCCAACTCTTCTAAATTCATACGAAGGCCAAAATTTAAGCTGTAATTCACTGAAAAGCTTTCAAAAATAAACTAGGCACGGCAATTCAGCCATTTCTGACTCTAAACATAAATGCAAATGAGATTTCAGAGCTTCAGGAAAGAGTACCTCTTTAATTTTGTTCTGGTTCTCTCACCAAACTATCATATGGACTTGGAAACAAGCACATGGTTCATGTATCGGTAGATGTAGCAGTAATGATTCGTCAAAATTGTTCAACGATTAAAATAACAGCAGTCAAGATTGGAATGACATGAAGGTGAGTAAATAATGACATTTTCAGGTGAACGATTACTTTACCGCCTAAAGTTCAAGCCTCAAACAATTTGCGCACTTTCAGACCTAGATCTTCCACAGCATAAGGTGTAAAAAGTCTACTTTAGGAGTGGCAAATGTGCAATTATTACAACACTGCGTATCCCAAAGAACCATTCCCACAGGTTACACGTTACATTACTGTAGGGAACTAAAAGCTCTGATGGTTGGTGTTCTGCGGATTCATCTCGCACCAATGCGACAGCTAAAAGACACCTTTGCTTGATACTGCAGAAAGACGGACGATGGTTTTATTACTGGTCTGGCAATGATGTTTGACTTCCTCTGTTGCTTGACCTGCATCTTTCACAAGATAAACTGCTACAAAATTCCAAGTATGCCATCATTAACCTCAGCCATTTTATCCTAACTAAACAGCACAAAGAGCCAGAGCTTACAAAATGCATACTGTAAACACACATACACATTCGTCTTCAAACATACTGAAAATGAATGTAAAAAATGATTAGAGCCATTTGAAAGTGATTCAGAACAATGAACTGTAGAGGTCTGTTTGCATCTGCACTTACCACAACTCAACAACAAATAAAGTTGCCACACATTTGCATCCCAAAAAGCGCATATGTATCTACATTATCAGCTCACATCTAGGCTACGTTGTCAGAAAGTGCTACGACTTTAGAGCCACCGTTGTGCTGTTTTACGTTGTTCGGACACCATTCGATTTGGACAAAACAGCCTTTGATTCGTACGCAAAATTGACACGAACAGTCACCAATTTGATGAGGTTTGCAAAATTAAATAGGCATGCATGAAAACCTGCGTGTGTCCACGGCAGAATCATGCCAATGGCGGCGTGTTATTGCACTCTTTTTTTCATCAACTGCCTACATTATGAACATCCGCTACATCGCAGCAGAAATACATCAGCCTCCACATTCATTGCCCAGGCCACCTAACAAAGCACCCTATAATACTCATGTCAATTGAAGCTTAGAGCTTACTCGTTCACTTAGTGTGTATATATTTATATTGACTAAATCGTATAGGAGCCACAAGGACTAAGTTCGCGAGAATCGCTTAGGAGCGACTCTGTCGGGTTAAGATGGAAAGTACTTGAAAGTAGATGAGTAGAAAAACAATACATCAAAAATGAAAGAAAGGTTTGGTTTTAAGCTTCAGCAGCCGTACGTACCCAAGTCGTAATCCCTCGCCGCTGTGCTCAAAGGAATTGTCTATACACATAAGTTAGATTTCTGATTGTTTCAAATACAATGCATACTGAACGGTATGGGGCCTCAGCCTGGCTGTTCAAGCCCCAAATAAATAAAAGGTTTCTTTAAAACAACACACTCAATAAAGGCTCAAAAAAACATTAAAAGAGACTGATGAACAAAACAATAAAAATAAATGAAGTGCTCACATATTTAGATAAAAAGGATTAAATAGAAAAGAATGCATCCAAAAGTGCCGCGGTTCTAGTTGACGACGCTGCGTCAAGAACCGGAAGCACGCTAATACCACCGCGATCGGGCCACGTTCCCCTGCACCACGTCTCTCATACTATGGTCTCGTCTGCTGTCTTTTTCAGCAGCTTTGTGGAAAGCAGGGAATGCTGGGTAGAGTGTGCACCCTTGGTGTCAGGAATGAGCAAGCGGACTTTCTGATTGGTTCGTCTCCACTCGGAGTACAACTGACAGTGGTAGCGGAATGAGACCTGCAAAACAGGGACATTTTTTGGTTTAAGAGATTAAAATTGTGAATCTCATGATTGAAGAACATGCCTGGGTGACATTTTATGCAAAAATCAAAAGAAAAAAATGTGAAAATAGGAACATTCCCTCCAGCCGTCATTCTGGAGTATGAGAATCATCATGTCAGGACACAAAGATGTTTTTGTATTAAAATCAGCATAAATTAAAGGCATTACAAAAAAATATTACTATTTATAACAGTAATCAATTTGTATTTTTCTAAGAATTACAGTAATGAGACAGGGTTTTTTGCATTACGGTAATGAGAATCAGATTTTTTTTATGCATTATGGTAATGACTCACGAGTACAAGATTTGTTTTGCATTACAAGTTTGCCAAGTTTCTAAAAATGAATTTGCAGCAATGAAAACTAAATTTCTTTGCATTAAGGTAATGGGAAAATTTAAACACATTTAACATTTTCTTATTTAATTTCTATGGATTTTGGAAAGATTTTTGAAATGACCCAGACATGTTCAGACAAGTGAATTTAAGCATTCTGAATAAAACATGTAAATCCATTTGAATGGTTTGTAATACACTACCAGAGTCCAGAGGACGTAGATGGTGAAGAGTGCGATGGTCAGAGCGATGAGGCCGACCGCCTCCAGGCGACTGTTGAAGTGCAGGTGGTCCTGTGCGCCCCGTAAACACAGCCAGCCAGAGATGGCCGCCAGGGGGGTTATAAACAGGAAGCACACCATGTCACAGAAGAGGGTGCGCTTCTCATTCCGGGGTCCCGGGTCCCTAAGCCACTATTGAAAGATGATGTGAGGTTTAGTGATAATGTATAAACAGTAAGGGTGTTACAATATAGTGTCACAATATATTGCAATACAAAAATGCAACAATATGTATCGTGGATAGTTCACCCAAAATAAAAAAAATTACGGTGTGAGAAAAAAGTTTTAAAGTCAGTACTACATTAAACTGCTATATATAACGTTGAATATAATGTATAATAATGCAATGTGGGAATATTTGTGGGTCCTGATAATGCCAAATGTTACCAGTAAAAAGTGCCCTACAAAGTTATTTATTTATTTATATCTTTGATTTGTCAATCATGTGTTTAAATATATCTAGTCAGTGACAGAGTGCAAGCATATTCGTCTAAAACAATTCTGTATTTTCAGCTTCAGAATCCTCAATATTTTTATTCTGGTGTCACTATTGACCTGTGAATTGGGTTATCAGCACCAAGTCCAAGTCTATTCATTTCCACCCACAATGTAATATCAAATTTAACGTTTTAATCAACAGTTAACATTTCCTCATATGTCTTGGAGTACCGCAATAATATAATATACGGACCTGTAATCTGTATAGCTTAACAATTAGACATGACAAATCAAAGATATAAATAAATAAATACATTTGCAGAAGTAGAAATGACATAAATAACAACAATAATAATGACAATTATTATTAAAAATGTCGGTATATATATATAAATGTACAATGGAAAAGTGAGGCGGAGCTATGCAGACGTGGCTAAACCTTAGTTACCTCTGTGAGGGGTCGGGGCCGGCGCTCAATGGTGAACTCAGTGTGGCACAGCTCACAGTAGCTGGTGTTAGAGGAGGACAGCCACTTCTCCAGGCAGCTCTTGTGGACCGTGCCCAGCGTGCCTGTGCAGTCGCATGGTGAGAGAAGCCCCTCGCTGTTGCACACGTCTTGACCCTCGTGGCAGATTCGACAAATTGGCCGATCACTAACAGAGAACAAAGTTAACAGCTTTATCTCTAGGTCACGGAAATGAGCATCATGTGACTGTATCTGTCAAAACTACTACGTTAAATTGCATGCTTAATTTTACACAAAATATTGTTTTTCGATTTGTTTACCTCTGGGTGCCCAGGGCTTTGATAACAGTAGATAGTAGACGTCCATCCTTGGCCGTGACCTGGGTGACGTATTGGGCCCGGCGGTTGTCAGCCTCCTCCACGGTTTTGGACAGGGCAGCGTTGCCAGTGCAGTCACACAGGGAGCCTGGGAGGTGGCAACACTCCCCTGTGGTCATTTCGGGGCCGTCCAGGAGGGCGGGGGGCAGGGGAACACCGGGGGGAATCAGGGAGCAGCCTCGCTCCCACACCTCAAGTCACAAAGACCCTACCACTGCAGAGAGAAGGAACATTTACACTGTAATTTTGAGGGGGAATAGCTAGTTTTGGCAAAATTGGTAAAATTTTGCAGGCAAAAATGGTCTATCATCAATAGTGTAGTGATGTATGAAGCCAACAGCCCACACAGGGGTCAATGCTGTGAATCCATGTGACCAACTGAAATAAATGCAAAATAATAAATGAGTAAATATCTCACCTACAGGTCCTTCTAAAAAAATTTGCATATTGTGATAAAGTTAATTATTTTCCATAATGTACTGATAAAAATGAAACTTTCATATATTTTAGATTCATTGCACACCAACTGAAATATTTCAGGTCTTTTATTGTTTTAATACTGATGATTTTGGCATACAGCTCATGAAAACCCAAAATTCCTGTCTCAAAAAATTAGCATATCATGAAAAGGGTCTCTAAACTAGGGCTGTGTTGAAAAAATCGATTCACCAATTCTGAATCGATTTTCATATTAATTTCTAAAGATCAATCCGTAACTCAGAAAATCGATTTAATAATAGGCTTACATTTTCCCCGTGAACTTTAACTTGCCGCGACTGGAGATCCCTGTATGCGCATTGAAAGGCTTTCACTCAGCGCGCACACTGTTACAACAACGGGCTTTGAGTGAGTCATTCGTTCATTCAACGAACACGTTCAAAAAAGCTGATTCATTAAAAGAGATGTAATGAAACAAGGTGTTAATTATTTTTTAACTTTGAGTTCCACTTTTCAAGGCTCAGCTGAGCAGCAATGCGTCGCATGGGTAACGCTGAAGCTGATGCTTCACTTATTAGAGACCAATATGGCATTGATTCAATGCGTGACTCGCTGATTTTATTTCCCCGCGGCTTCCTCGCGCTGTGGAATGCTGACCAGCGCTGCT